GATTAAACTTGATGTTTTAGTTTGCATGCTCTGTTATTTCGACTTTTAGGGTAGAATTTTTTATTTTTTGATTTTTGTTACAATTTGGAAAAATTGGCCTCTGCTTTGTGTTCATGGCCTTTAGTTTTGGTTAACCTTTGAGTTTTGTTACAGTTTAGTTTTTGTGTTTTCCTTCAATTGTCTTCAATTTTGTTAAAGCTTCGGTTGTTTGGTTTATTGTAGAAAATGCGCTCAAAAGTAGCTGCTTCTAAAAGCAAAATGAAGATTACTGGAAAAGGCGTTAAGTTTGATTATGCGAAAAGATTGAGGGAGTTGCCCTCTAGCCCTGATTCTGAATCTAATGTAAATGTCCAGGTGCCACATTGTGATGATTTTGAGTCTCCTGCTCCTCCTAAAAATTCGCAACAAGAGAGCAGTCGGATGACTCGTTCTCAAACGAGAAATACTCCCACTCCAGTTAAATCATCGAGTGACTTGCCCTCACCACCTTCTTCTGAAGCGAAAACGCATGTCCGGGATCCGATGATGATGATTTTGAGTCTCCTCCTCCTCCAAAAAAGTTGCAACAAGGGAGCACTCGAGTGACTCGGTCGAAAACAAGTAATACTCCTACTCCGGTTAACATTGTTAGAATACGGAGTAAGAAATGTGGGAGACCTCAAAAATTAAAAGAAAAGCTGAAAGTTGATTTGGTTAACGAAGATGATGTAGGCCGCAATGTTAAACCGAAAAGGAGAAAGATCAAGGATGATGGTGATAGTGGCCTTGATTCCTTATCGAAAGAACAAAGGTTTGCTATTCGCTCCAAATTGAATGAGAGAAAAGCTCAGTTGAAGGTATTCCCTCTGTTGCTAGTAATTTATACATGCTTATACAATTTTATACAAAGTTATACAGTTGTTTATACATCTTTATACAAGTTCTGCTATACTTATTTATATATTTTTATAAAATGTTTTAGTATAGTTTTTGTTCCTGATCTATTTCTTGTTATTTTTTCTTATGCAAGGTTGGGGACTTCTATATACAACCAGTTGATTATTTCCACAACAGGATTAGCTCCCACACCGAGACTGAGATTGTGAGCATTTTGAAGCAATATTTGACTGACACACATCTTCAGATGTTCCGTGCTAGTTGTTTTGGGTACTTCTTGGACGTCCCTCAATTTAAAATTCAAAATCAACTTATTCATTGTATATTATTAAGGGAAGTCGTCCCAGGACGTGAAAGGGAGTTGTGGGTGCAAATTAATGGTTGTTTGTTGCGTTTTGGCATTGGAGAGTTTGCTGTTATCACTGGTTTGAAGTGTGTAGACGACGACGCCACTTTCTATGACAAACCAGATGTTAATAGGTTGCTAAAAGAGTATTTTCCAGGAGATGGAAAAAAGGCTATAACTAGGGGGCAGCTTCTTGATCGCTTCAAGAAAAAGGACTGGAAGTCGGACGAAGATGCGTTCAAGATGGCCTTGATGATGTTTGTCCATCATTTCATATTCTCAGATGCCAATAATCATGGTATCATAAGATGATTTTGATATCATTGAAAGTGGTCAATATCAGACGTATGCTTGGGGAAAAAAGTCATTTGAAGATATTTTAAGGACAATGAGGGACAGACAGTGTGACTATTTGACAATGTATAGGCTTGGAGGTTTGCCACTTGCATTACAAGTATGGTTTTTTGAGTGTTGCTCTATTGTTGACAAGCATCTAGCTGTTCGCGTTGGAACAAATGTGCCACGCATTCTTAATTGGAAAGTGACTGAAACTCCAACATATGCCGATTTGACTGGCAGGGTGATCATGTGTAGTATCGACAAGGTAAACATTTTGTACCATAATACTTCTTCATATATGATTTCAGTTTTTCTGTATGTATATTTATGAATATGTTACAATTTCCTTTTTCTACCATTGTAATCCAGTTTTTTTTCTTGTAGTTGAACTATAGGAACATTTCCCCTACTCGTGAAGAGATGTCAACTCTGAACATCGAGACGCTTTTTGAAGTTAATACCGATAATGTTGCATCAGGGGATGTGCCTGCCTTTCACACTGATGATTCTGTCGCTGCATCTCCACCTTGTCCTCAGAATATGGAGCAACAGTCTAAACGACCTTATCCTCAGAATACGGAGCAGCAGTCTAAACGACCTTTTCCTCAGAATATGGATCGACAGCCTAACCCGAGTTATGATCCTTTGGTGCGCATTGATCTGTTGAATGCTGAAGTTGAGAAGTTGAGGAGTGTTGTTGGAAAGGTACTGGACCTTTAGCTTTTCTGTAGTTTATCAGTACTTTTTGTATATACATGGTTTTTTGGTTATAAACATGGTTGTTGATTTGCTTTTTTTTGTTGTGGTTGTAGTTGACTGATACAGTAACGACACTCAACAATTATGTAGTTTCTTCCTTTGAAAAAGTGTTTAGTTTTCTGAATATGAAGGAAACCAAGCAAACAAGGGAGGATTTTACTGATTCTAAAGTAATTGTTTACTGATAAAACCAAATCACTCAATAGTTATGCCTTCTCTGAATCATCACTCAACAGTTATGCCTTATCTTTCTATTGTTTGTTATTATATTCATCAGCGCGTGTCTGATGACAATACATCTGGTCTTGGCGAATATGATGGCTATCAATATGATGTTGTTCCTGACTTTGTCAATCAAGTGAATCAAGATGACGTGCTAGCTGACGAGGGAGTTACTGATGGTGTTGATCATGGTATTTGTTCTGCATTTTATCTTCTTTTTTTTGTCTGATTTTTCTTTTCTTCATTTTAAAGTTTTTTATTATTTGTTTTCTCTGTCTAAGGGGCAGCAGGTGATGTCAAGGGTGACACATTTTGGGATGACATTGGCGATGAAGATTTAGCTGCGCTACAGATGTCCCAAATTGTGCTTCACAAACAATCCATCATAGACGTAGAAGATGATTACATTTCTCCTGAAAAGTCAGTTCGACAGAAAATACCAGGAAAATATGCCAAATCTCCATATTTGCCAGTTTTTGATTCGGGGGCATCAGGATCGGCGCCCAAGCTCATTTTTGATATCAAGCATCCTTTCACGATCGAAATTGATGATTTTGATCCATTGTCGCCATTGGCTAAAGAGTTTTGCGCGTTTGTTGATAATGGGATGGATACGAGGCGAAGGTATCTTCACTTTCTTTAATCTTTCATGTTCTGATTTTATACTTGTCAATGAATGTAGTTCTGATTACTTTTTATTTTTTGTGATTTGAAGTGCCAAAAATATATATCCCGATGAAGTAAATAAGCTTGCGGAAGCTTTTACTTTTGGCTCGTGTAATGTGACCACGAAGGATTGGTTCCACTCACTTGCATATTGTGGTCGACCTTTCATTGACACGGTATTTAATAAATTTATGTTCTAATGCCTTTTTTTATTTGTTGCATATCTTTATTATTTGAGACCCCCATAGTGTATACATAGCTTTGTATAATCACAGTATAAGATTGTATAACCTTGTATAAATATGTATACCTCTGTATAATAGTGTATAAATTTCTATATTTAAAATATCTGGTAGTGATGGTTGTTCTGTTTTATTTCTTGTTTCAGCACTTGGATGTCCTCTTTTATTATTTGAGGAAGAGGGGAAAATATGGGCCGAGTGTTGCCATGCGGTTTACTACAACCGACTTTGCCTTTGGTAACAAAATCAACTCCCTGTATAAAGTTTTCAAAGTGAATCAAGATCCTTCAGTGATTCCTGAAGGGCATGAGATAGAAGAGTACATTAGAGGATATTATTGTGATGCAAATGTCCCGTGGCACACTGTTGACCACGTCTTATTCCCTATCTATGTGAAGCGCGGAAGAGCAAAATTGGGCCATTGGGTTTTGGGGGTGTTTACCTTCATAGATAGGTGCATCCACATCTATGATTCTAATCGTGGAGCTATTAATGATAGACTTGTTTTGGATGCTGCATTACCTTATGCAATTCTAATACCTTACTTCTTGAAGAGTTCTGATTTTTATGTCGAGAAGAAGGGCATTGATTGGAACAATGGTGCATATACCGATAAATCCCATTCTGATGCTTTGCAGATTAATCTGGTTAATAATGTTCCCCAACAGATCAAATGGTAGGTTAATCTCAATTGTTTTACTATTTTACTATTAGTATACCTATTTGAATCTGATTTTTTTCTTTTTAATTACAGTGATTGTGGTGCTTTTGTTGTTGTCTTTGATGAGTATTTCATCCTTGGTAAGGAAATTCAAAAAGATAATTTTGACATTGAAACACTTCGCACAGATGGGGATCTCTGTTGTGGGATTATGGAAGGAAAAAACAACAGTCCAGTGTAATTAGTGGTGATGAAATCACAGGGAGACTTTTCAAGAAGAGGAAGAGGGGGCGACCGAGAAAGTAGTTCTGTTTTTTCCATTTTACTGTAGTTTTTCTATGTATCAGGAGTTGTTGCCTAGTTTTGTCTAAGTACTTTTCTGCTACTTGTGAGATAGCATTAAAGGATTTTATAGATGTTTTTATTTTTGTGTAATTTGCGGTAGTCATTACACATTGTGGCTGTGAATGAATTACATTTTAATGAATATATCAGTTGCTTTTGTCCTTTAACAAAGTATGTATTTTCATTATGGTTGCAGTTTTGTTGTTGTAGCAAGGTTTATACATATTTATACAAACTTATACTCTCATTTATACATCTGTATACATATAATACCAGCAGTTTTGTCTTGTATTTGTACAATGTATCAATATATTTAGCACCATTAAAAACAACAACACATTATTATTGGATAATCAAAACATGTATAATGAAACATATTTTAAAACAATTGCAATATATAGCGTAAGTTGTAAATCATTATTGACATTTGTAATTCAATTACTTGTGAGACTTAACTACTAAACATTTGTAACTCTATTCTTTGTGAAACTTAACTACTCAACATGACAACAAATGTAATAGGAAGTGTTATGTTTTCAACTAGCTATTTTGGTCGATTCCTACATGTTTTTCTATTGTGACCACCTTGTCCACACACAGAACATGAAAATGCCCTCTTAGACTCTTTTTCTGAAGCAGGTTTGAGTCTTTCCTTTCTTGGCCTTCCTGCATTCCTTCTCCCTTTAGGTGGTAGGACCACATCTTCCATCACCTCTGTTGGGATTACCCATAGACTCTCATCTGGCATCGGATTCACTGGAAATTCATAAGTTCTAAGGAGTTTATCCTTCTTGAAGTAAAAAGAGCAATACTGGCCAGGTTTCAGCTGCTGGTTCTTCAAAACCGCCCAAGCATGCGGACATGGAAGTTCATCCATTTGAAATTTTCCACAACTGCATGTTCCCTCTTCAAGGCACACTATGTTTCGCCTTACCCCTTCAAACACAGTATATAACTTCTCCGTAGCAGGCCTCACCTGCAAAAGTTTTTTTTTAAAAAAAAAAAAAGTGAAAGAACATTATACATTATTATACAGAGATATACATCCTTATACAAGCAGTAAAATGCATGTCAGCAGTGCCAAGAATCATTATATTTGATTCAATTTACCGTCATTTGCTCCGATGCAATCAGATTTTCCCGAAGGAGTTTGTCGTACTTTTCGCCAAGCTCTGTAGATGTCTCCATTGCACTTTTTCTATTTTTGTTGTTCCACTGTTGTAGCAAATTTGTCATGCACTCCAGCAATCGCATTACTGGTAACTCTCTAGCATCCTTGTTTGCTGCATTAATTGACTCTAAGCAATATTGGAAGTCGTTACCATCGACCTTTTCACTTTGGAATATGCCCTAGACCACCTTTCGTATCCAATTTCGAACAAGTAAGGTTGCACTCTCGGATCAATTTTGCACATCTCTGTCATATGGTACTCAAACTTCTCTATCGTGTAAGCTCTAGCCAAAGCAAAGAAGATATCCTTCAATTGTTTGTGATGTTTCTTGACATTCTGCCACAAGTGAAACATGCAAATACAATGTGGTACTTCTGGGTACACAGCTTTTGTGGCATTGAAGATGCTTTCATTTCTATTTGAAACTATACACGTCCCTTCCCTAACTCCAAAAGTACCCTTTATTCTGACAAAGAACCACTCCCAAGATTTGTTATTCTCTGAATCTACAATTGCATATGCAAGTGGAAGGATTTTTCCTATTTATACAAAATAGATATTAGGATTCAGACAATTATACAAATATTATACACAGTTATACACAATTATACAATTTTATACCAACTGCAAATTTTATAAAAACAGTAGCTGTGAAATCCTATACACTTTTATACATGAAACTACAACATTATACAAACTGCAGAAACAAGGTAGATGCAGTCAACTCACCAGCTCCATCCTGTGTGCAAGCAGTCAATATGGTACCCTTATATGCTGCTTTAAGGAAACTTCCATCAACAACCATTATCGGTCTGCAATGCTCCCAGCCCTTGATAGATGCATATAGCGAAACATATGCATAAAGAAAGCATCCATCTTCTGATTTGTGCAACTTTGTAACCGTTCCTAGATTTGATTGCTCTAACATATAAAAATACTTCGGCAACTCCTTATATGAATCACTAGGGCTCCCTCTTATCATTGTCATTGCTATCTCTTTAGCTCTCCATGCTTTCATGTAGCTCACCTCAATTCCGTGTTGCTTTTATATGTCCTCTATTATATCATTTGCAGTGTAAACTTTTTTTGATTAACATACTTGTCCTTGACTATACTAGCAATTACACCCGAAGTAGCTTGACGTTGTGTTAAGTATCTTTCACCATAGCCGCATGTGTGATTATTATTGTAACTTCTCACTTTGAATATGTTTGCCTTGAAAACGGCAGAAGATTTGAAACTCCAAGCACAATTTTCATCCATACACATAAGGTGATACCTAGGATTAAAGATCATTCAACTTCTGAATACTCTTGTATACAAAAATATAACTACATATATACTAATTTTAATACCTAGATACAAATATATACTACTTTATACATATTTATACATATATATAACAGAATATACAATTATTTACATACCTTGTTGCGCTTGATCTCTTCACCTTGAATTGGAACCTTTCACGTACAGCCAAGTTCTTCATCACACTGACAACTGTCTCTTTATCCTTATAAACTTGATCTTCCTCAACAAATTCGTTCAAAATATCATCTATTATACCCGTATTTTCACTAAATTTTATGTTTTCAATAAATTTGATATCAATAATCTCAGTGCTATCAATTCTTGATACATCTCTAGAATCTGAACTTGTACCAACCAAACAGCTGGAACTTGTAGCAACTACACAACTAGAACTTGTAGGAACCAAACGATTTTCATATATCTCTTTCACTGTCACAAACAAAGGATATTCAGTGAAATTCAAGTTTTTCTTCTTTAATTCGATATACACCTTCACACCTGTATCGTTGTAAATCAGGATCGATGGCAAACCAACATTTGGGAGAAAGTTAATCTCTATTGTGTTTAACTCACTATCGATCCTAATCTGTTCCGAAATAGCTGCAACTAAATTGTTGTAGGTGAATGTCGACTCGATTATTACACAATCGCTGACGAAATTGATAAACTTGTTTTCTTCCCATTCACCACTATGAAGAACGTAAACTGGAAAATCTCCATCGAACAAAAAATGGAAATCAAAATTGAAGCAAAAACTAAAATTGCGCTGATTTGCAGCAAACAAATTTTACTTTTCGTGTTTGATTTGTTGTTAATTCGAGATGAAGAAGAAATTCTAGGGTTTTTGGAGCTGCATTCATGGAAAGATCTCGTTTTTGAAGTATTTGGGGAAGAAGATTGGAAAGAATCTGAGAAAATGCAGAAAATCCCGCTTTTTACTCCCAAAAAAACGGAATTAACACTCCTTTTTTAGATATGGGCCTATAATTTTTGGGCTACTCAATTGTAAATTGAAATATGGGCTATAAAGCTGAAAAGGAGGCAGCCCAATTGTTTTAATATGAAATTTTTCCTTTTTTAAACTTCTACAACGCACAATACGTCCTGACCTTCTGAACTTAACATCGTTTATTCGATATATCTTTTAAATACTTTTTGTGGCAGAATTTTTATAAGACATATTTGAAACTCCAAAACATAATGGATTTTTACTCAATTATTTTTAAAAATTTGGTCCGAAAAAAGAAGAAATATACACTTATAATTAACTAATTGCATCTAAAGAAGAAACAAAAAGAAATAAACAGTTGAAAATCCTTTATTGGCTAAAATAAATTTTTTGATTAAAAATAATGGAGCTCTAGAAAAAAATTCATAGATTTTTCCCAAAAAAAGGTATAAATTTGGAATAAATAGTTGTTGCATCTAATAGGAAATAAAAAGAAAATTTACAATTAGAACTCTATTATTTTGGCTAAAACTTTTTTAATTGGATACAAATTAGAGAGCTCTAGCCAAAAAAAAAAAAAAAAAGTTTATTACAAATTTGGTTGAAAAAATTACACAGTTATAATTAGGGGTGTACATAGGTCGGGTTGGCTCGGATTTTTCCATTATTAAACCAAACCAATGGTGTCAAATTTTTGAATTTATAAAACAAACCAAACCAACAAAGTCGGGGTTTCCAATGTCAATTTTTCTCGGGTTTTCGGATTTTTTCGGGTTTTTGGATTTTTTCCGGTAAAGTCTTCATAGCATAAAATATGTAACTTGTGCTCTCTTAATTCCAAGTGAAATACAACTATATAATGTGTTTTCTAAGAAACTAACATAATTATATGAGATAAGTCATAGCATTATATTAAAATATTCAATAGCAAAGATAAAATAATGAAATTACATAAAACAAATTACATAAATATTGCCCGAGGTGGAACCATAATTTAAAGACTATGAGTTTCGATATCAATTTTACATTAATTTATATAACAAAAAAATTTAATTTCACAGTAAAATACTTATAAATGTTTAATAAATTTTAGTATGTACGCGTTAGATCCGCCCTTCCTCAAGCCTTTTTGGTGGGGATATTCTCCTAGTGCTCCTCCGTACGTGGCATTGCACCAATAGTTAATATGTTAGGTAATAAAGTAAATTATTAATAAAACAAATAATAGTAAGGTATCATTTAAATAATTTAATCTATTGCAAATTTATATTAGTGAAGAACATTTTAGTATTAACTTAAATCGGTGTATAAGACGTTGACTCTATCTGGATATCCGTATATCCAACATTGATTCCATTGTTCGACCAAAAAAGAAACATTTATTTCATTGTTGAAGAATAAATTATTTTCCCTTCTCCCTTCCCTCCTTAAAGAACAAGAAAAGTTGTACGAGAAAAAAAAAAGAACAAGAAAAGTCTTTTTCAGTTCACATGATTAAGAAAATTGTTTTAAAATATTCAAATATTAGAACCAAAACCAAACCAATTAAGTCGGTTTTTCTCGATTCGGTTTATGTCGGTTTTTCGGATTTTTCGGTTATTTGTCGGTTTTTTCTTAAATATAAGACATACAATACCAAACACATATTCCGGCGATCAGATTTTCAATGTAACACTATCAAATCAATTGCCCTTTGAGAAATCTATTATTTACCAAGATATATTGATGATAATTGAATCAAATAGTGGTGAATAATTTAAGGACTCAATTAAAAATATGTTATTTTTAATACAAAACGGATTCTTACACTAAACAAACGAAAACTACCAATCAAAATATAATGTAAAGGTAAAGAACCATATTAAAAGTACAAACTATTAACATTTACCATAATTTTTTTGAAACTTTGTATAACAATATACATATATATAGGTGTAATAATAAATTTGAAATAGCTACTCCTATAGTCGGTTTGGTTCGGTTTTTTCTGATTAAAACCAAAACCAAACCAAATTTGATCGGTTTTTAAAATTCAAAACCAAAACCAAACCAAACCAAAATGTATCAGTTTTTTTGGTCGATTTGGTTTGGTTTGGTTTTTCGGGTTTTAATGAACATCCCTATGTGGTATAATGCTAAGGTATGTGTCCTGTTCAAGGTCTTCATACAAGGATTTTAATTTTTATGCACTGACATTATAAATAAATTTAAAATATCAAACCACTTAAATAATAGCTACACGTACTGTTCTAAGAAAGAGAGTAATAATCTGCTATAAGTACATGTTAGTATATAATTAAAATACATTGACAGTGAAAAAGTTCTGTTCGATCTAATCAGAAACTTTTACTAGAACATTGTATTTTTGTTAAAAAAAAATATTAATATATATAAAAAGATAAAATTTAGAACTCAATACTTAAATCATTCTGAAATTTAGAACTCATTACGCTGAAATCTTGGTTCCGCGTCTGTATGTGACATATATAGGCTTAATCCTAGACGCCAAGTATAAATACATAGTTCTATGATTGTCACAAAACACTCCCGAAAGTATTAAAAAATAGTAGCATAATGTTCGCCGTTTCTTCTCCTTTGTTTTCTAATTTAGGCTTGTCCTTGGCAGATCCCACAAGCCAGGAACTGAACACCATAGAAAATCCAGATTCAGGTACCAATATTCCTCGTTATCATTCATCATCTCGTCCAAGCATTGTACACAGTGAATCCAAGAATTTTAATGAGTTTAATAATGGTGATTATCGAATAGTGAAGAAGCTTAATCACAATGCGAATGAGCGTGACCGGAGAAAAAATACTAATAGCTTGTATTCTTCTCTTCGTTCTTTGCTTCCAGCTACTGATCAAACGGTATGATTCTTTCTTTTTTTTTGTTTTTATATATTTCTCTGATTCTTTCTTCTTCTTTTTTTCCTCATTTTGTTGAGGTAGTAACAAAAGAGAAATTTGAATACAATAATTTGTGAACTTCGGTAATTCCAGAAAGTGATATAGATTTACGAGATTGGCATTATCTTCGGAAGTAGAGCCCGTTTGGATTGGCTTAAAAAAAGTGGTTTTCAGCAGAAATAACTTTTAAGGCAAAACGTAATAAGCTGGGATTACCGGGCTTATTGCTTTTAAGAAGTATTAAACTTATTTTAAGCATTTTTTAACTTTGTCAAATGCTGAAAAAAGCTAAAAAGAGCTTAAAAGCTTAAAAATCAATCCAAACGCCCTCGTAGTACATTAATAACGTGATCCTGAAACAAAAGAGCAGTATTTTCTCAATTTTTTTATATTTATATATAATCATTTGGTATTCATAACCTACTGAGGTGATTAATCTAGATCTGCGCCTCGTAAGAACCATAAAAAGAAAAAGTGTTCACCACCCGGAGTTTTTTCATTCTTAGAACTCGAATTTGAAACCTTTAAATAAAAGTGAAGAGATCTCATTCATCCCACCATATTTCTTGGTGATTAATAATTGGAATATCTATTTTTTTTTTGTATTTAATAAATTTATTAGGTGCGCGAATAAAGTCTTACATTGGTAGCTGAAAAGATTGGGAGCCTACAAATAAGCTGTAGGGATCTCTTAATGGTGTGAGAGATTTTGGGGAAAAACATATGGGTTTGGCCAAAGCGGACAATATCACACAATGTTAAGAGTGTCATTCGGCTGGTTGAGCCGAACAACTGCTATCAGAGCCCAGATTTACTGGGACGAGTATGGCGATGGCAGAGCGATGGTGCGGGGCGCGGTTTGCTTATCCTACAAGCTTGGATATGTGCGCGCAAGAAGAAGCTAGTTGCGCGCTTCTGTTGTGATAAATACTCTGATGATGTCGGTAGCACACTAAATCTCGAAAATTGACCCGTGGATCGTAGTAATAGGCCACATAGAGCTGGTCCGAGGGGGGGACCCAAGGACCGTGATAGTGGGCCACGTGGAACTTAGTTCGAGGGAGAAAGTGTTGGGTGTGCGAATAAAGTTCTGCATTAGTAGATGAAAATATATGAAGCATACATATAAGGCGTATGGATCTATTCATGGTGTGAGGTTTTTTAGAAAAAATAATGTGAATTTGGGACAAAGTAGACAATATCATACCATGTTAAGAATTTTTTGGAGTGGTTGAGCCCAACAACTAGTATCAGAGTCCAAGTTCAGCGGGACGAGTATAGCAATGATAGAGTGATGGCGTTGGACTCGGTTTACTTTTCCTTCATGAGCTCAAAGACGCACACAGATAAGAAGAAGCTAGTTGCAGGCTTCGGTTTTCATGATACTTTAAAGATGTAGGTGGCACACGGTGAATCTCGAAAATTGACCTGTGGATTGTGGTAGTGAGTCACGTGGAACTTAGTTCGAGTGGGTCACATGAAACTTAGTTCGAATGGGAGATTGTTGGATATGCAAACAAAGTCCCACATTGGTAAAAGATTAGGAGCCTACATATAAGATGTAGAGATCTTTTAATGGTGTGAGGTCTTTTGGAAAACATATACAGGTTTGGCCCAAAACAGACAATATCATATCATAACTAATAGTATTTTTGGGCTGGTCGAGCCCAACAAGATTGAAGATAGTGAACATTTCAATTGGTACATTTTCACTTTGCATCCTATTAAATATCCTTGATGTATTGTGGGTTTATCATACTCTTAATAGGTATATACATGATGATGCAAATTAACTCATTTCATTTTGACAGAAAAAAGTAAGCCTTCCGGCTACAGTAGCAAGAGTGCTAAAGTACATACCAGAGTTAAAGAAAGAAGTGGAAAGACTGACACAGAAGAAAGAAGATCTCACATTAAGATCAATCCCTAAGAAAGAATATTCAGCTGATTTTAATAAGCAAACAATAAGAGGAGGAATTCAGAATTCTTTATCAGTTGTCTCAGCAAATAAAGTGGGAGATAGAGAAATCATGATTCAAATATCTATTTTGAAGACCAATAAGAGTTCGTTTGCCGAAGCTATATCAGAATTAGAGGAGGAAGAACTTCTCCTACTTAATGCATCTTGTTTTCAGACTCTGCAAGATAGAGTTTTCTACAATTTGCATTTTCAGGTATTAATATAAGCTTCACTCTCTTTCTTCTCTCCATCTATCCGTTTGGCTTGAGTTTAACTTAGAAAATTAACCTAAATAGTCACACGCTCGATCCTTTAAGCTAGAACAGTCTATATATATATATATATATATATATAAATATAAAATTAGTGTATTATTTACGCATACCTACTGGGAAAAGTAAACAATGAATCCAACTGTTTGTGTAAAAAATCCTTTAGCTTTTAAATTAATTTAAGTAAAGAGTTAAGTAAAGGGACAACCCCATTTTAAATTAATTGTGTTCAATACACGTCTCGCATGATAGGGTCAACAGAACAACGAAAGGATATCAATTTTATTTTTTTTGAGTAAATATACCAATTCTCTTTTGAGTTTAGCTTATAAACACCTATTATTTACTCAAAAAAAAAAATTGATATCCTTTCGTTGTTCTGTTGACCCTATCATGCGAGACGTGTATTGAACACAATTAATTTAAAATGGGGGTTGTCCCTTTACTTAACTCTTCTTACAAAACTACTTGGTGTAATAAAAAAAAAAAAATTTGAGTGACCATATGTTAAATTATCTCGAAGGAAATTAATGAGGCATATCCTAAGAGTTTTGTGGTTCAATGATACCATGGAACTAGATAATTTCTCCCGTAAGTTTGTCTAGAAATATAGGCATATCAAATTGTGCAATTCGACATATCTTTGTTACCTATAATATATTGCGCAAACAGTGTAGATCTTACTTTTTTTATTTTATTGTATTGTATAGGTACAAGGAACTTTACCAGTTAACGTTCAAATATTAAGGGACAAGCTCTTAGCGTATTACGAGACAGAAGACAAGTTCTTACTACCGTGGATTTCTGGCTCTCGTACATAGAAGCTTCATCATGGATACATAAATTTAAACAAATGGAGCATGTATTTCTCTTGGGCAAAACTGAAATCTAGACCGAAATTGTACATAAATCTCGGTCTAGATTTCAGCTTATCGAAATTTCAATGCAAAGCACATAAATTTGCTCAATGTATGTGCTTTACACTAAATAAATCGAACTAGGTATGCAGCATTATTCGCCGGAGCTCCGGCAAGAAGTGTGAATTGGGCGTGTTGTAATGAGATAAAGTTTAGACACGATTTTGTTCGCAATAAATTTTCGTAGTACCAAATATAAATTGCAACAAAAAGAAAAAGAGATTTTATTGATAAATATTCGAGGACAATTCTATGTGTCCCTAAATTCTCCTCTCGGTAATTCTCCATGATTCGAGGGCTTGAGAAGCGTCTTTCTCGAATGACGATGCAGAACTCCTTGTGATGTATTTAATCGCCAAGAACGTCGAGCAGCACTTCTTTGTTTTGGGTTGATCTCTGGGAAGAACTCTGTTGACCACTCCTTTGTTGAAAAACTATGCACTTGATGATTGATTTCTCTACATCCAGATGCCTTCACCAATTGCGAAATATTCTTCCCCAATTCTGAATGTCCCCAGAAAGTTATGTAACAGCTCTATTTATAGTCGTAGAGGATGGACGATCCAGCTACATATGAACTTTCTTGGTTGATTCTGATTGGCTCGTGTTAGTCATCAAACTTATCACATAAGTTATGTGATGATGTTGCATATAATTGGCCAAGACATGCCATTTTGGATACTTGGCGGCCTTTGATTGGCTAATATTTTGACTGGAATTGCCACATTATTTTAACACATGGCATAATCTTGTTGGCCTTGAATTTGACTGGACATGTCATGTCACTTGACACATAACATAAGTCTGGGACTTAAGATGAAATGGACATGGGCTTGAAAATAATATAGTAGACTAATTTAATTTATATTGTTCAAATTATATTATTTAACCCAATTGAATGTAACCCAAATTTTATAAGAATTAGACCCAATAAATTTTATGAATCTACAACGGTCCTTTATTTCAAGGAGTAAGAGATCGGAAAAAATCGAGAAACAACATTCTTCTTAAGAACGAAGGAGCTCCTAGGATTTGAAGAATTTCCTTTTGGGCTGGAATTGAAGACTGCTTTTGGAAGAGAAAAAGATAAAGGAAGAACACGTGAGTAATAAGGATTCCGTTAGAAGTGATAGAAAATCCAAAAGAGGGTTGTTTTTTGGTTAACTTTGAAAATTTTAAAGGATATTTCTGATTAAGTAAAATATTATAAGGATATTTCTGAAAGTGGACATGATTATCTCTATATGATCTCTAATTATTTTGTCAACCTCGAATAATTAATATCCTGCAGTCCATAACGCAAAAAACAAAGATGATGCTTAGCCGAAACCAACAATCAGAATAGCATAAAAATAAACAAACTGTTATGAAATATATTATTTGTATGGATATCCACTACACAAATATAACTTCAATTACTCTTTTTTATTATGTAAGTAACCTCCCCACTATTCTTCGTCATTATGGTTGTAACTCCATGACTCCATAACCTCCTTCATGATCTTCCTCCGTGATCTCAATAGTTAATACCATATTCATGACATCCCTTTGTATTACCTTAATGTCATCCTATAAATAGAGGTTTTGGGCATCACATTGTACACACTTGAATACATGGAAGAAATAAGAACCTCTCTTTCTCCCTACATTCTTATCTATTTTCTTGTTTTATATTATTACTTTGAGCTAAGTTTTTTAATACATTATCAGCACGAATGTCTCATTCTTTGTCAAGTTGTGGTAGGTGTTTCTTAACTTTCACGACTTGGCCTACTCAAACCCTTTTGGTCGTCAGGTAACTATTTGTTTATCTATTTTCACATAAAATGGTAAGAGTTTCTATAAATTCTTTTTGTTTACTACTCCACAAATTTTTAGTTTTATGATTATGCTAAGAACATTATATGCATTCGGTGTGGTGGTTTACACTTCCAAGCTATAGATCATTTTCTTCAATATCTGATTTAATATATTAGAATAGGCGTTCGAAGTCCAACTGACCTATTTTAACAAGTTCAAGTAATGATCTAATAAGACTAGTAGGCTAATTCAATTGCAAAAAGACAAAGACATTGCATAAGCCAAAAACATGTCTTCATTATCTACATAAGCCATATAATATATTTTTTTAGAGTTAATATTAATAGATATAATGCATAATTTGTTTATGCTTATTTTCTCAAACCTTCTATTCTACGGGAGGTTTGAGAAAAAGAAAGATAATGAACATTTCTGTGAAGTTACATGAATATGTCACCAAAAATATTTTATTGTGCCTTATAAAAGATTATTAAAGGCAAAATTAAAGCAAGAAATGATTTTGCTTATGATGATTTGGACCATGACAATTATTGTGATATATTTTTCTCCGTAAATGAGATATTCACCATATGGATGGTGTGACAAAAGATCTTGCAGTACAAAAATTAATTAGGAGCTCCAAAAAAACTAATTTATTACTACCTGGATGAATAAAATTGTTCATGACATTAATATTGTAGTAAGTCTCAAAAGAAACCTTTTGAGTTTCAAATGTGATTGACCAAAAGATATAAACTTTCGGTTAAACTATTTAATTTTATGTAATGAGGGGTTAAACTTAGTTAATAATAATATCTCTAGATTTAGAACTTGACAGTATTAATCTAATCCAATTAGAATGCTTGGTACTTTGTAGTTGTACATAAGCAAAGTATTGAAAATCGTATTTACTCATTCTATTTCTAACCATCGGGGAGATTCATCCTATATTTTTCCTAGATTATTCCAGCAAATAGCAGAATCGTGGCTAGGGAACTATACTAGCATACGCCCTGAGGAATTCCTACCAGCAGACTTCCCTATACTCAAAGTGAATTGTCTAAGTGCTCTACTTTGTCTCATTGTTTATCTCGTAATCATTCGATTTCGCCTCTAAAGCTAGCTCGAAGTTCATTGATATCTTCTTTTTATAAAGAAAATCAACTTCGATTCTTGAATAATCCACATCACTTCTGTTTCTATTGGAACACAAGATTCCCCTTTTCTGTGGAAAAGGCCCATATCAATAATTCTGATTTCGCGTATGGACAATTGCTCTGACTAAGGTTTGGAAAGATTCCCTAGGGTACTACAGCTTGCGTGGAAGGCTAGGGTGGTTTTCAGAAAGCTCGAAGACAGAGACGTCGTAGGGAACCAATTTCTATCGTCTTCCTCCTCTAGTGGTCATTCATTCTTTTGATGACTCGCAGTCGAAAGAGTTGGTTAGCAGTTCAAACCTCAGAGGGAGTTGAAGAGAGGTCTTTCAGTTCATTTAAAGGCACTAGGGACGAGCCATTACAGACGGTATGATGCTTCTGGAGTTCGTTCATACCCAATCTTGAGTGAAATAAATATCGCGACTTCGATCTTGTTCAACAAAATCATCACGCAGTAAATCAACAAAGCCCAAAGTTATGTCTCTTGCACCTTGAAGTTTACCTACTATGGTACCAGAGTGAATATGATCTCCACCAGACATACGTAACGCTTTTGCTAATACCCTAACTTCTCCCATAATGATATCTATGCTACCTAGTATTGTCATAATATCAGTCAATTTCATTCTTTAACTAACTGAGGAAGGATTTGCAAATTGATAAAACCTGATGGGCGAATTTTCCATCTCCAAGGAAAAATGCTCCGATCTCCTATGAGAAAAATTCTATGGATAGCGTAAGATAAACTCGATGGGAAACTAAAAGCCATGCACATTTAATATTCTAAAAGATGTCAGCAATAATGGAGGGATATCAAGCAATAAATAGCAATAAATGGCATAAATGTAAATAAGGGGAACGATTCACCCAATAATGAATGGGATAGATGATTGTTCCTTCTGACAATGATGAATGAAAGACAAATCCTCGAATGTTCGAACTATTCTCAGATCTGATGGAAAGATATGGGATAATGTGTGCAAGAATATTGTAAAAGGTAAAGTTTGTATCATTGCTAGAGAAAGAATCTTCTTCTGAAAAGTGTTCTTATCAAGTCAATGTTACATGCCCTACACTATTGTCTCTTTTTCTATTTATATGAGTCATATCTCTAACAACTCCTAATAGTACAAGTGAAGAGAATATAGAATATTCTCTTTACTATCCTATTACAAAACTAGCCGTTATTGTTCTGTTCTTGGTGCTCGACCTCGACTGTTGTTGATAGTCCGGACACGAATCTCACTGCTTCCTAGTCGACCTCGATCGCATCTTTTTCCTTAATGCCACTTTACGCTAAATTACCTTCGCGCAGATTCTGGCCTATACAATAAGTCCCTCCGCTTATTGAGGCCGACCCCGGATGGCCTCGATGAACGGACCCTGTTGTCATGGTTGGGAAGTTTAGGCGAGCAGGTCGAGTAGTGGCATTTCAGACGAGGTGGTAACATGGCCTTTCGTGAGCCGCAACCTAAGGTCACATCGATTCAGAGTGACGTCATGACATCATGCGTCATTATTACGCATTTTTTCGATGCCTTGCGTCGTTTCCCATACCTCTCCCACTTCGATACCTGCGTTGGTAATGAAAGTTTGATTTCTCGATCCTGGTGCTTGAACTCTTACAAATAGGTATATGAAACCATTTATCTACGTTTTGCACTCTTAACATCGAATCTCTATGTCTTCTTCCCCATTCTTCATTTAGAGTTCTTATCCTCTTAGCTTCATTATTGTGTATCTGCCTCCCTTGATTCTGGTGATACCAACTGCTCATAACCCTTATGCACTTGCAACATCCTCTTTTTTATTAAATAAAAAAAATGGTTAACATATTGGAAGCGTTATTAAATTTGTCAGTAACTTTACTATGAGCAAATCTCGCGTCAGCGTTCTTAACCACTCCTAATGAAATATTTTTAATAAGATTTATAAAATCAAAGCTCACAGATTTATCAATCAAGCCATATTCGTTAATCCAATAAATAAAATATCAATATGTAGTAAAATCACACATAATATGTAACGATCTGACCGGTCGTTTTGAGCTTTTGAACTTTGATCGCCAGTTCCCGGGCATGACTTGCCCCATGTAATGTATTATGACTGATGTAGATCGTTGGTTTTGGTTTTCAGGAAAAATCGGGATGAATTTGAAGGATCAGTCTCAGTTGAAAGCTTTGAATTTGAAAGGTTTGACCAATGGTTGACTTATTTGTATATGAG